AAATAAGGGCCAACATTCCATTAGCCTTCCTGATTACCTGCTGCACCTGGGTGCTAGCTAGCTGTCTGTGTTTTGTGCACAAGTACCCCCAAGTCCATTTGTGATCCGGCTTTCTACAGCTTTTCTCCATGTAAATAATACTCTGTCCTTTTTTTTCTGCCTTCCAAAATGAAGAATTTCACATTTTCCCACAGCTCAGCTTCTCTATTTTTCCACCTCTGTTATGCTACCTACCACTACCCACCTTCATTAATACCACACGACAGTGTAGACCCATTGTAATTGAACCCAGCATCTCTCTCAGGGGTTGTCCCACTCCTAACTCAAAGTGGCTTTTGATCATGGAAAAGTGTCACATTTATTGTTTCTGTAAAGGTTTCATTCTTGTTTTCCTGCTGAAAGTAGAGGTTATGTATCTGCTAATATCTAAGCACCAAAATCACTGACTTATTGTGCTTTTTATCAGTCCTTGCTACCATCAAAGAGCTGAAATGCATCACTGAGTGTGCTGCTACCATTAAGTGAGATCACAACTGATCTATGACATATCTTCATCTTTCCATAATACATATTGATGAACAAACTTTATCAATTACTGTTTTAAATTTAACTATTAGCCCCACTATCAGTTTTATTTGAGGAAGAGATTGTCAAAATACAGCCATCCTTTTGTGTGTAGAACTTTTTCCTAATTACACATTGAAAGGCTTGTCTCAAACTTTTAGGCAATTCCGTCTCATCCTGGATACCCCACTGATAGAAATAGTTTTTCAACCCTATTAGGTCTCCTTAATATATTTAAAGCTTTGCAGAAATGGCCCCCTTAACCTGCTGATATGCCATGGAATCCAGGTTTTGTATATGTTTAGCTATTAATTAAACCTTAACATCCAGGTACTATGCTGATAACCTTTTGGACAGTCACCCCAAAGCCTTTGTGTCCTTCCTAAGGCGTGGTGTCCAAAACTGAACACAGTACTTCCATGTGTATTCTGGCTGGGTTTTGTTTAACTGTAATATACTTCTATCACGTTGCATACTAACGTTCCATTCCATTCCAAAAGACTTATTGGTTATCCTTTTCATGACATTTTGTCCTAGTACATGGACTCCTGTGTTTCTTTGTTTCTATTGAACATTTTTAGAATGTACTCTAGAGGGGCTGTGGACCATCAACAGCAGCAGAATTTCACAAACTGCAACTTCATGGTCCAGCATATCTCCCACTGAACCATTACCCATCAAGCCAGGGGATTAACCCTGGAGAGTTCATGAGAGCATACCAGCATACCCTTTACAAATCAATGCTAGCTCTGACTGAAATTTATCAAGGTGCTTAGTTGTTGTAGCCTTAAGTATGGGCTTTAGGAATTTCTTAATCGATTTTGAGCTGAATAGTTAACAATAACTGTTTCTCTCTCTCACCTTCCTTAAATAGCAAAGCAACATGTTCAATTTTCTGATCCAGAGAAATAATTTCTAGCTTGCAAGGACTTTGGAAGATTACCATCTGCAATGTTCCCACCCAATTCCTTTAAAACACAGGATTGAAAACCTTCTGAATTTGATTTTTGTAATTCTTCAGTGCCACTGTTTTGCTTATATCAGTTTTGGTAAATCTCTAATTTAGTATTAGTTTTCTGTGACCCACTTGCTATCCTCTTCCTCCACTATATATTCAGTTTCCAGGCTTGACCACCATGCAACCTTGCTTCAGTAATGTGCTGTGAACCTGCTTAGGGGCCATTAACCTTAAAGATATGTGAACACCCAGCTAATTAATCACCACAATTACACAACAATATTCGATGTTTTCCTAAGAACACAATCTTTATTGTATTTAAAATAATTAAACAAAACAGGTTGTAACACCTGTAGGCTGTAAGTTATGTACGATACCCACACTTTTACTCCTTACTTCCTCAAACCGTTTTGTTATAACACGTAACAATTTTTTTAAAATTCAATCAAAGTTATTTAATTGTGCAGGGATCACCCATAAATATGCCACTAACCTATGGCAATCACGTTAATTCTCTGTACGTACATGATTCATGTTTGAGTTCCCTTCCAGGGCTTGAGCATAAACATTAAGGGGCTGACACTATGGTTCAATGCTGGAGAAGCACTGCACTGTTGGAGGTGCAGCCTTTTGGATGTCAAGCTGACACCGTTAGCTACCTCCTTGGGTGGACCTAAACGATCCGATGGCACTGTTTCAAAGAAAAGTAGTTATCCAATATTTGGATTTATCCCTCAATCACCACCACTGAAAAACTGATTATTTGGCCACTATCACATTGCTATTTGTGGGAGTTTTCTGAACACAAATTGGCAGCTGTGTTCCCTGTCTTATAATGGAAATTACACTGTCAAGTACCTTGAGGCTTCTGATGATCATAACAGTGGTGACCATTTTGACAGATGCACCTTATTCGACTGTGAATTGTGTGAACATTACCTCTAAGTGGTGCAAAGAGTAAGCACGCACAAAAGGTGGCATGAAACATCGTTATAACACCTTTTATTACGACAGTGAAAGCTTGGATTTGATTGAACAAATGTTTGATTAAAATGAAATTCAGCACCTACTGTATTTGACTGTTGTATTAATTTGATATGATCCCATTTGAGAACAAGCCGAATGACAGGACAAAAATTACTTATAGCAGATTCAAATCTGTTCACAGAAATACGATGGCCCCGAGAAAATCCTTTTTGGTTCACTTCTTACACTCCCAATGTTTTGTTTTTCTTGGCTGGTGTTGTCTTTACCTATAGATACCTGTCATTGTTTTAGAGTCATAGAGATGTACAGCATGGAAACAGACCCTTCAGTCCAACTCGTTCATGCTGACCAGATATCCCAGATAAATCTAGTCCCATTTGCCAGCATTTGGCCCATATCCCTGTAAACCCTTCCTATTCATATACCCATCCAGGTGCCTTTTAAATGTTATAATTGTACCAGCCCCCACCACTTCCTTTGACAGCTCATTCCATACACGCACCACCCTCTGTGTGAAAAAGTTGCTCTTTAGGTCCCTTTTAAATCTTTCCCCTCTCACCTTAAACCTATGCCCTCTAGTTTTTGACTCATCCACCACAAGGAAAAGACCTTGTCTATTTACCCTATCCACGTCCCTCATGATTTCATAAACCTCTATAAGGTCACCCCTCAGCCTCCAATGCTGCAGGGAAAATAGCCCCAGCCTATTCAGCCTCTCCCTACAGCTTAAACCCTTCAACCCTGGCAACGTTTTTGTAAATCTTTTCTGAACACTCTCAAGTTTAATAACATCCTTCCTATAGCAGGGAGACCAGAATTGAGCACAGTATTCCAAAAGTGGCCTAACCAATGTCCTGTACAGCCTCGACACGACCTCCCAATTCCTATTCTCAATGCACTGACGAATAAAGGCAAGCATACCAAACACCACCTTCATTATCCTGTCTACCTGTGACTCCTCTTTCAAGGAACTATGGACTTGCGCTGTAAGGTCTCTTTGTTCAGCAACAATTCCCAGGACCTTTTCATTACATGTGCAAGTCCCTGCCCTGATTTGCCTTTCCAAAATGCAATACCTCACATTTATCTAAATTAAACACCATCTGCCACTCCTCAGCCCATTGGCCCATCTGATCAAGATCCTGTTGTACTCTGAGGTAACCTTCTTCACTGTCCACTACACCTCCAATTTTGGTGTCATTTGCAAAATTATTAACCATACCTCCTATGTTCATATCCAAATCAACTTCACCTTCTTTACCTCTTCCCCAAGCTCAAGAGTCTGTGTCTCTGTGACTTTCCCCTGGGTTTCCTTTTTTGCACCAGGGATCCTTTCTGCATGGTCCACCTGATTTGAGAGCAGATCTCCTCCACATCAACTCCACTGTCAGCCAGAACTTTCCTTTTTGCAGCCAGGCACATCCCACTGTGACCCTACAACCACGGTGATGGCCTAGTGGTATTATCGCTGGACTGTCAGTCCAGAGACACACATCATGTCCTGGGGACCCAGATTCATATCTCATTAGGGCAGAATGTGAATTCAATAAAAAAAAGGACTGAAACATGTCTAATGATGATCATGAAGCCATTGTCAATCATCAGGAAAAGCCCTTCTCGTTCACTAATGTCCTTTAGGGAAGGAAATTGTCATCATTACGGGGTCTGGCCTACATGTGACTCCAGACTCTTAGCAATGTGAGCTACTCTTAAATGCCCTCTAGACAAGTAGAGGTGGGCAATAAATGCTACCTAGCCAGCGATGCCCTCATTCCATGAATGAATGAAGAAAAAAAGCCACCACAACTTTATTGCTGATTCATAGCCTGGGCAAAGGCTACAAACTCCACATGTGCAGGTAATGGCCATCTTTATGGCCATCTTGGCATTCATAGCATACACTGTGATGTTTCTTACTTTTGTGATTTAATTACATTATATGTTTTTTTAAAAAATTCCTTTACCTGTGTTGCCTTAAATTATAATTTATGACTATTACTGTACTCACTTCCCTTTTCTTTGGTTTAGAAATGTTGTTTATAAGTAGTTTTTCTGTCTGATCTTCCATGATCCCCCACCTCTATCCGGTTTACTGCTTTAACATCTTGGGTGAGATACTTATTCATGCCTTCCACTATGGCCCATCTCCCTTCTTCAGGTGCAGCTAGTCCCAATGTTGGTAACTGTCCCCCAGGAAATGAAATCTCCCTCTCCCTGGCCACTGCTTCAGCTCTATCTTCACCTCCCTCATCTATTCATCCATAAACCAATTTGTACATGGCTTAACCGATAATCCAGAGATCAAAATTCTTAAGGTCTTTTTTTTCCCTCTCATAATTTAGTTCTTTTGCTGCTGAAACTCTCTGGATTTGTTCAGATCTCCCGTTTTGCAAGCTCACTTATTCCACAACTGCTTCACGACCCAAACATCATCACTACTATATCTACCATGCCTGGATTTCTTTTGAATTCATTTCCTTTGTACCTCTAGACATGAACGATTTTGACCTGTCCGATGCTCTTGATGACAGGAATGACAACCATGGCAAGGGAGCTAAAGATGACTCAGGTAAGAAATCACAGCAGATAGGATCTGCCATGGTGGGGTTATTTGAGTTCAAAATCCATTTGGCGTTGGTGCTTCACAAATAACGTAGGAAGTTACCTGCAAGAGTTTAAACTCAAATTGGAAATGAAACATGAAATTAAAGTTTTGCATCATATTTCTGCATGGAAACCATCTTACAATTGGTTATTTGAAAGTACAGCTAAGACTTCCACGTTCCTGGCATCAAAGGTAGATATCACACATACTGCTCAATCTGAGAGGACTCCAGGCAAAGCCCAAGGTCTCCAAGGAGATAATTTACAATTTCTGATTTGTCAATGACAGTGCACTAAATACGGGTTACAGCTGGCCATCCAACATTGCACTTGTTCCCCAATGCATGTAACAGCCTTGAATTCACAGTCTTATAAGGAAAAATTGAAGTAATGTCCCAAACTGATCCAGGAAAGCTCTACCTCAAGTCCAAAGTTTCAGTTCATGACCAGAACCTGTCAGCAGTGCATAGGTTCATTTTATCTCAGAAGCACACTCTCTCGCAAGTTGTTCACATGGACAATGAAACATACAACAATTGTCAAAGCAGGTCTAGACTTAAGCAGACTTCAAACACTGAGCTGGGAAGGAAGAAGAGGAAGTCTGTTGACCAAACTGAAAGCCTATAAAGCAATAGTCTTGTGCAGTCTGTTCCATGTGTGCAATAGATGGACTGTGCACCAGCATCACACCAAGAAGCTCATCCACTTCTCCTGGAGCTGCCTTTGGAAGCTTCTGAAGATCAGGTGCTGGGACAGTGTCTCACTGTTAGCACTGCTGCCTCACACCAGGGACCCAGGTTCAATTCCAGTCTCGGGCGACTGTCTGTGTGGAGTTTGCACATTCTTCCCATGTCTGTGTGAGTTTCTGCCGGATGCTCCAGTTTCCTCCCACAGTCCAAAGATGTGCAGGTGAGGGGCATTAGCCATGGGAAATGCATGGATAGGGTTGGGTCTGCGTGGGATGCCCTTCAGGGGATCAGTGCAGATTTGATGGGCTGAATCGCCTCTTTCTTGACTGTAAGGATTCAATTGAATCATTGAATAATACCAGACACTCTGGTGCTGACCAAGCACTATAAACATAATGAGACAGTCACAACTGAGTTGGATTGGTCTTGGTGCCCTGCCTTCCCTCAGCAGTCAAAGGAAATCCTAAAAGGTCATTCCGGAGATTTCACTTCAGAGTTTTGAGTCCTAGCATCCTTGCCTGAGAACTACACCTGGTACTGCCAATTTTAAAAATAAAATTGCACTCAAATAAAAAGAAAGTACTGCAGCTGCTGAGATCTGAAATAAAAACAAGAAATTTGCTGGAGAAAACTTAGGTCTGGTAGCATCTGAGGAGAGAGAAATAGAGTTAACGTTTCAAGTCTCATATGATTTTTCCTTGGAATGGAACAAAATGTAGGTGCAAGTGACCATGTATCAGAGGCAGGAGAAAAATCATGAAGCAGCAATGTGCCTGAAATGTACTCCATCATAGAATCCCTACAGTGCAAACAGAGGCTGTTTGGCACATGGAGTCTACACCGACCCTATGAAGACCAATCCACCCTGTCCCCATAACCTACAGCTCCATGGGAAATGGCTAATCCACCTGAACACTACGCGGCAATTTAGTGCAAACAATCCAACAGTTATCAGTAGTGTCCTGTCCAAGTTACAGTAGAATTATCTAGACACAGACCAGCCTTAGCTGTCGTCTGTGAAACTACCAGAACTCTACCAAAACGCCCTGAACAATGGAGGGAACTAATCTACTTCTCCAAAGGATATACAAAGCAGTGTCAAGTTTCTATATTTGCACAATGTCTTGTTTTAAAATTGAAACAGATGTACAGAAATGTGATCACGAATAACCTAACAATTTTAATGAAAGCCCCACTAATGGGCCAATAGCAAGTTGTGTGTTAGATTAATAAAAAACAGAACAACTGTAATTCCTCAAGTGCAGAAGTGCAAAATGTACTGATGACCATGAACTGATGATTGACTACTTCTCCGAGCAGAATATTCTGTCTCAAGCCCAGCACCACTTAATGGTGGGGGTTTGTCAGCATCCAGACATAGGAGTGGGCAGTGCTTATTTCAGCAAAAGGGAGACAAGCTATCGGGAAGAGTCATCAGAGAGGTTAGTTCTACTTATGCTTTGATGTTCTTAGTTCTTAAAGTTTCCATCTGTCCAACAGATCACCCTTCCGTTCCAGGCTCCAAAGGAAATGACAAACCTAAAGGAGGTAAAAAAATTGGTAAGGAGGCTGTCACTAGAGCTGGGTGATCCAGGTGTTTTCAAAATCAAACCAAACGTAACGCAAAAGGTCTGATTTGACACTCTTGAGCCAGAGTTTTGAGACAGCTAGTGAGGGTGAGGCTTTTTAATAACAAAGATCTCTTCACAAGGGCAGCCACAATCTAATGACCACACTGTCCAAACAAGGCAGTCCTTCACCTGCTAACCTTCTAAATTAGCAGTAGTTACTACAATCCAATCATCCCCTGTGCCATTGAGGAATTCATTTTTTCTACACTGATTAATGTGCTGCACTTAATATACGCAGTCATTAGGCTTCAAGAATCATAATGCATTGCTGTAAAAGGGACAGTGCAATCTCACAAAAATCTGATCATTGTTGAAGATTTCCAACTAACAGCCTTAATACTAGGACACATGCTCATGCACATTCACAAAATGAAAGTTTTAATAGTATGTCCAGACGGAATAACAGTGACTAGCACACACAAGCTAGCATCATTAGTTGTGGTATTTAGAAGGTGAAGAGTAGGTTTACAAACCTATGCTGTCCCTTTGTTTAATCCATAGACAATTGGCACAGCTTTTAAGGGTTATGTGATGTTCAGTACATCATCTGAATATCAGAAAAACTATTTAGACCCATTACCTTTCGCCAAAAGTCTACTGGATAGAAAGTTGTTGGGCAGGACATTATTTGAAAATTAGCACACAACCTATTGAATTTATGGGTTCTGTTGATTTCTTACTGCTGTACCCTCCTACACCTGAAGACTTAGGGCGTGCCTGTATGAATTAGTAACAGTCCAGCAAGTTGCCACAGAATTAGTCCAAGTGTATTGTTTCAGTACCAGAACAGTGGTGCTTTCTAACCCCTTTAGTTCCTAGAAGCATTAAAGATACAAATTGAATGTAGCGTGCCAGGAGAATGCATTACAAACAGAATAATATATTTGCAGTTTCAAAGCAGGAACAGAGTGTCACATCCCCTAGCTGTACAAACAACTTAAATCAGGACTCAGATATGTTTTCTTTTTCTTTGAGGTTGTCCAAAGACCTTTTTCTGGATTCATCCAGCTTTACTCGCAGCTAGTTGTATCCTCCTGTCCTGTTGCTCACTGCATTCTGATCTCAGATCTCCATAGATTGTCCCTATCCTGTACATGCAGTGTGTGTCTCTTAACAGCACTCTCCCCTCTGGGACTCAAACATTCTGCTTATTAAAGGAACTTTAAATACCATTAATAAAATGTGATTTAACAACAGCGTTGCACGACTGTACGGTTCTATCAGAATCTAATGGCAGTGTAATCTGAGTCTGGATAAAATTTTCAAATGTTAATTGGGCTGGTGCATGACTGTATGATGTCTTCTTTCTGCTTTTCTCCTGTCTGATTTGCACTTTGACAGTTTTGAAAATTGGTTCAATTTTAACAAAAAAAGGTTTTTCTCCCAAAATTCAGGATCGCCACTTGAAAACGAGGAGCTACCGCTTGTAAAACACTAACACGAGGTTGGGCAAGTGACTGAAGTGTCAGTTGGAGAGCACTTTGGGTCCAGTGACCGTATCTCTCCTTAGTTTTAACATAATTATGGAAAAAGATAGGATAGGTCCACAGGTTAAGGTGCTGAACTGGAGCAGGGCCAATTTTGGGCCCATCACGCAGGATTTAGCAGAGGTTGTTTGGGTGAGTCTGTTTGAAGGAAAAGGAACAACTGGCAAATGGGAAGGTTTAAAAGTGTGATCAAGAGTCCAGGGACAGTATGTCCCTGTTAGGGTGAAGGGAAAAGCTAGCAGGTTTCAGGATCCCTGGTTGAGGGATATTGAGGCTCTGGTCAGGAAAAAGAAGAAGGTTTAGGCTATCTGGCTTAATTGAATCCCCAGATGACTATGAAAAGTGTAGGAGCATGCTTAAGATGGAAATAAGAAAACAAAAAGAGGGTATGAGATGGATCTGGTAGATAAGGTTAAAGATAATCCCAAGAGGTTCTTTAGCTATATTAAGAGTAAAAGGGTGGCTAGGGAGAGAATAGGTCCCCTTAAAGATCAGCATGGCTGTCTATGTGGAGCCACAGGAGATGGGGGAGATTTTTAATGAATGTTTCTCCTCAATGTTTACTGAGGAGACAATCGTGGATGCTAAGGAAATGAGGGAAACAAATAAGGATGTTTTGGACTGTATATGCATTACCAGAGAGGAGGTGTTTGCAGCCTTAAAGCACATTAAGGTGGATAAATCCCTTGGGCCTGATCAGGTCAACCCTCAGTCATTGTGGGAGACTAAGGAAACAATTGCAAAGGAGATTTTTGCTTCATCTTTAGCCACTGGTGAAATTCCAGAAGACTGGAGGGTGGCTAATGTTGTTCCATTGTTTAAAAAAGGTAGCAAAGACAAGCCAGGGAACTACAGGGCAATGAGCCGGACATCAGTTGGAGGCAAGTTATTGGAGAGGATACTGAGGGACAGGATCAACCAACATTTGGATAGTCAAGGTATGATTAGGAACTGCTCCTCTGATGCTGCTTGGCCAGCTCTACGCCTTGTTATCTTAGTCAAATTTGTGTGCAGGAAGCCATGCCGGACAAATCTTTTAGCATTTTTTGAAGAGGTACCCAAGAGGATAGATGAGGGTAGGGCAGTGGATGTTATCTATATGGACTTTAATAATGCCTTTGACAGGGTTCTGCAGGGCAGGCTAATCATGAAGGTTCAGTCACATGGGATCCAGGGACAGATAGCTAATTGGATTCAAAATTGGCTCGATGGCAGGAAGCAGAGGGTGATGGTTGAAGGTCTTTTCTCGGACTGGAGGCCTGTGCTGTGGTGTGCCACAGGAGTCAGTGCTGGGACCTTTGTTATTTGCATAAATAATCTGGATGTGAATGTACAAGGCATGGTTAGTATGTTTGCGGATGATACCAAATTTGGAGGTATTGTTGATAGCGAGGAAGGTTATCAAAAATTAGAGGGATTTGATCAGATGGGGAAGTGGACTGAGGATAGGCAAACGCAATTCAGTACAGATAAGCGTGAGGTGTTGCACTTTGGAAAGTCAAATCAAGGTAGGACTTATACAGTTAATGGTAAGGTCCTGAGAAGTGTTGTAGAACAAAGGGACCTAGGAGTATAAGTACATAGTTTGTTGAAAGTGGCATCACAGGTAGACATGGGTGGTAAAGAAGGCATTTAGCATGCTGGCTTTCGTCGGTTTGAGGCATTAAGTATTGGAGTTAGGACGTTATGTTACAGTTGTATCAGTCATTGGTGAGGCCACACTTGGAATATTGTGTACAGTTTTGTTCATGCTATTGCAGGAAAAATACAGTTAAACGGGAAAGTGTCCAAAGAAGATTTACGAGGATATTGGAAGGACTAGTAGGCCTGAGTTATAGCGAGAGGTTGGCCAGGATAGGAGTTTATTCCTTGGAACGTAGGAGAATGAGGGGTGACCTTATTAAAGTGTATAAAATCATGAGGGGCATAGATAGGATGTATGCATATACTCTATTTCCCAGGGATGGGGAGTTGAAAACTAGAGGGCATAGGTTTAAGGTGAGAGGGGAAAGATTTAAGAAGGACCTGAAGGGCAACTTCTTCACGCAGAGAGTGGTGCATATTTAGAATGCGCTGCCAGAGAAAGTGGATGAGGCAGGTACAGTAGCAACATTTAAAAAACATTTGGATAGGTACATGAATAGGAAGGGTTTGGAGGGATATGGACCAAATGCGTGCAATTGGAACTAGCCGTGTGGGCACCATGGTGAGCATAGACCAGTCTGGGCCGAAGGGCCTGTTTCCAAGCTGTCTTACTCTATGACTGTAATAGACTTTCACCTGTGCCATTCAGTCATTTTGAAACCATTTCAATAGCAAAGACTTCCCTAAAAAAAAAAATTGACCCTCCATCTTCCTCACCTGTCCCCTCTCCCCAACCATCACTGACATTACTGACCAATAAGAAAAATGGATGGATGGGAGTCAGGTAATTTGTTTGGAAAAAAAAAAGCATCTCAAGACTTCTCTCCAGCCAACTACTTCCAGGTTAAACAGGTCTTGGGTGAGATGGAGGCAACCACACATTCCCAGGTAGATGGTTGGCCATTTGTCTATCATTTTTACAACCAGGGATAGCAAGCCAAATCAAATCAGCCTTATTAGCACTGGATTTGCAACATAGTGAAATTAAAATATTCAGTGTCCCTCAAGATTTGCCCAGTTATTCTTAACAAGTCTATGAATAACAGATCTTGATCAGCAAGTTTATAATTGAACAAAAATTATGTATTTATCATTAATACTGTGACTTTAGTCGGACAAAACTAAACAACAAGGTAATTTAATTAATATCTATGCTTTAAACCCAATCTTCTTAGATCGTAACCCCATTCACACACAAACAGACTGAAAGACACAGTTAAGGCATAAACTAGAACGAGAAGTAAAAGAATTGTATTCTGCCAGTTCACTTAAACAGTTTCAAACAATGGATGCCAAACCTTCAAGCAATTCTTGGATAATGAGTTGTTCACAGGCACATAACTGAATATCTAATTAGAAGTCACTGGTGAATGCAAACAATTTCAGTAGACCTGCAGAATCTTAAAGACTGGGATTTTCTCAGAACATTCAACAATTCTTTAACTGGACGGACAACTGGAGAAAGCAAAAAACAAACAGCAGCCAGAAGTCTCCAAAAATCACTCTGTACTTACCATAACCAGTTACAACACATTTTCTGCATCCTTTTTGTCTTTTTAAATTAATATTCTCTGTGCTTGGCTGGTTAATATCAGCTCCCCCCCACCTTGATTGAGCAACTCAACATCCAACCAGCTGCCAGTCCTGGGCATGGCAATATATTTAGTGCCAATTAGTACACAGTGTCCCTTATATCAGTAATTAAGTTAGATTATCTTCCCAGCCAGTCACGAACAGCAAGTAACTGTGACCCATTCTCCTCTTTTAAAACACAAAGCTGTTCAAAGTTCAACTATCCCTTACATCAACTCATCGTGCCATTAAAAAAAAACGTTAAAAGAAAAGTAGAGAGCTTCCACATTATACTGAGGTTGTGTATGCCTCTAGCCAATCTGTCAGGTTTAACCCAGGCTGGCTGGATTTCCAAGGTGAGCACTGTTTGTGGAAGTAGTAAGTATTGAAACAGCTGGTGGGTCAAAAGGAGTAGGAATGCTCCCCCCACACCACCCCCACCCTACCCAAACATGCGCGCGCACACATACACGCACGCGCACACACGTACATGCAAGCGCGCACACGTACATGCACATGCACGCGCGCACACACGCACGCACGCGCACACACATGTACATGCACACACACATGTACACGCATGCATGCGCACACATACATGCACGCGCGCACACACGTACATGTACAAACGCGCACACACACGTACACATACATGCGCACGTACACGTACACCCACGCGCACACGTACGTATACGCGCGCGCACACATACACGCACGCACGTTCACGTACATGCGCGCACACACGTACACGCGCGCACACACGTACACATACACGCACGCGCGCACACACACACACACAAGTGCACACGCACACTGTCCAAGAATTGATTAAGTGACAGTTGTTGTGACTGCTTCATATCTCCC